TATATTTGTTGGTAATCAAACAGCTAGTAAGGAATGTTGCTTTAATCTTGTGAATGTGGTGGGAAAACAATGCGATGATGACCTGACTGCATTTGTATTGCGTTCACCAAAATATGAGAAAACAAGAAGTGAAATTACGAAAAATAGTCAACGTGTTTGGGATAATTGTATTACTTCTTTACTAAATATTCCTCAAGGTGCAATAGATCCTAATGTCTTTAACTTTAACTCTCTAGGTCCTAATGTCTTTAACTTTAATTAAGATTTTGTGCAATTTATATCTAATAAAATTGGTTTCTGAGACCCTATATGCTTCATAACTTTGTAAAAGAATTTTGAGTCTATGTCTTTCACTTTTATCTCAATACTCATTCATTGCCACATCTTTGTTGAAACCTGCTAAAACTTTTCTTCTAACACTTGTGTTCCTTGGAACAGTTATTTGTTTTAAAGAAGGGATTTCATCTCTTACTTATGCAGAGAGACCATTATCAAAATCCAGAAATATTAAAATAGATTAACCAAATATGTAAACGAATAAAAATATGAGACAAAACCATAATTAAACCAATTAAAATATTGAAATGTTGTTCAAGATATTTATTTCACCGCCATTGAAAGAATATTTACTCCACTTGTTTATTACTCCTTGACTTACTTTTTAAATGTTATTTTTTAATTTTTTACTGATATAAATAAAGTTATTGAATATTGTTACTTTTGAAACAATAGTTTTTTTTGTTTATAATAATATCTTGGCTTTTAGATTGAAAATTGTGCTTGAAGGATTGATATCGTGGTGCCAATCGGCTTTTGTCCCAGATTTTAGATAGTATATTAGTTGTTAATGAAGTTGTTGATCATGCAACTAGGGAGAAAAAAGAATGTATATGTTTAAAATGGATTTCGAAAAAGTGTATGATTGTGTAAATTGAGAGTTTATAAGGGAAATGATGAAGAAGATGGGTTTTAGCAGTACTTGGATGGACTGAATGAATGGTTGTGTTTTTAACGGGTATTTGTCGATATTAGTTAACGGTTGTCCGATAAAGGATATTAAGGTGGAGAGGGATTTGAGACAAGGGGATCCTTTGTCTCCTTTTCTATTTGTGATTATAGCAGAATGGCTTTCTTAATTGTTTAAGAATGTTGTTTCTTTAAGAGAATTTGAAGGTTACAATTTTAAAGGTAGTCTTTCTATTGATTTGATGTAATTTGCTAACAATATGTTGATTATAGGGGCGGATAACTGGAAGAATCTTTGATGTATCAAAGTGATCTTAAGGGGATTCGAGTTGGTGTCGGGGTTGGGAGTAAAATTTCATAAAAGTAGATTGGTCGGGATCAATAAGAGTGAACACTTCTTACAGGCTGCATTCAATTTTTTGGCTTGCAAATTGGAGGCTTCGACTTTTTACTTTCTCGGCTTGCCAATTGGTTCTAACCTGAGACGTATTAAAATGTGGTCATCTATTATTTTTTCATGGAGGTTGCATTCTATTAAAATAGGTGTTAACTTTGCTCCGAACGAAGAATCTTGTGTGTTTTGTCGAAGTTTAGAGGAGGACCTTGACCATTTGTTCTTCATCTGCCTGATTTCCAAATTAGTGTGTGATCAAATTGGTGAATGGATAGATGTCGAAGTTTGTGTTACAACGATCCCAACTTGGAAATTTTTCTTATGTAGGAGTTCATATTTCAAAAGTTTATCTAATAAAGGTAACATTGATATTGTTCTGGACTGGGCCGACGTCTGGCCCATAGTCGAGCAGGCCCAAACTCCACCAGGATTGGGAGACCCGAAAAGACCTCATCGACCAACAGTAGAAGGTACGTCGGGCAGAACATCTCCTCCCATCGGACACAGACCAACAACCGTCGGGCAGGACCTTCATAGTTGTCCGACCATCCTTCCTCTGCCTCACGGTCGGGCAGAGCCCAACCAGCCCGGGAAGCTCCTCAGACCTCCCGGATAGCACGGAATAGCTACATTAGGGCGAAGACCACGTGATGGTCTTCATGACGCCATGTCAGCCCTAGCAGTTACCAACGTTGGGCCTGGAAGCCCAGCCCAACGTATGGTAACCGTTGGCCCTGCGTTGCGGGCTCATTATAAATACGCTATTCCACTATAGGGTCAGGTAATCAATTCTCAATCTTTTTCTCGGTACTTGTCATCACTCTGCTCGTCGCTTACTTTGGCATCGAAGTGTGTTTCAGGTACCCCCCCCCCCCCCCCTCCCCTTTCTGTCTGTCAAGTCTACCGTTCGACAGCTCAGACGCGTGGCAACCCAGCGATCTCTCTGATCAGGTACGATCAGATATCATTTGGTTGGCGATTGTGTGGGATTGTGGAAATCTCGAAATGATATAATATTCAACAAGTCTAAATGTGGTTTAAATAATATAGTGTAGTTCGTTAAGTATTTGGTTTGGAAATGGTTGATCATATGAAAAATTATGTATTCCAACGTTAACTACTTAGAGTTGTGTATGGACCATTTTGTATTGCTTAACTTTGTAGTTTTTGTTGGTGGGGAATCTTTTTTGGGTTTTTTTTGTTTGTGTTGTATCGTTTTGGGTTTGAGCACCCCTAATGCCCCTAATATATTCTTAGTTATTTGTTACATTTTTTTTTCTCACTAAAAGAATATCTAAGGATAATTTTAACAAAAGTGCAATTAATATTACCTTGAAATTTTTAAATAATAATTAGAAATAAACAAAAAAGGTTATCAAAAAAGTGATACTTAAAAAAACGGAGGGAGTATATTTTTTATAAAAACAACTTTTGTTATAAATTTGTTTTAACTCTATCGGCCACATTTTTTTCACCTTGTGTCCAAAACTGATGACTCGCTCTCAGGAATACTCGTCTTTTTTCTGTTTCGTCATCGTCGTCCCCTTCGGACGGATTGCTGCATATATCTAAGTTTGGATCATCTAAATCATGTATCACCCTTTTACGAACCCTAATCATTTCTTGAATCTCATCTATCTCAATATCATCATCAGACAACTTCATTTTGCATTAGATACTTAAAGTAACTACAAACAAACAAACTTTTACATGCACTAGAACATCTTACCTACTATTTTCACTTGACATTGACATTTTAACATCACCTGCTTTCTAAATCATGTTGTTTTTCCGCGATATCTGAAAAACCTTCTTCTACGAAGTCTTTATGCATTCTCTTTCGTTTCAGCTTGCACTCTATCCAAAGTTTTCCTGATCCACTCTAGATATTCTAATGTCTCACCAGATGCTCTGGAACAACACAAAACGTGCAAAAATATTAACCCTTAAGACTTTACAACTGTCTAACTATACGTGCAACACTTTTACCAAATCATTTATGACACTCATACCGAACAAACACTCATGTTTTTGTTTGATGCACGTTTCGGTGAAGACATTTTTAGTTTCGAAAGCACAAGATCCACAATAGTTAAATAAAAGAATTCATTGATGCGCCTTAAATACTGCTTAGCTATCACGCAAAATTATTTAAATACCTTTAGTTTTTAGAGACGCATCTCGAACGCGCCTATTTATTAAGAAACGTTGAAATATTCTGGAGATGCATCTCCGAAAATATTCAAAACATCTCACTCAGAAATCATTTACATTTGAATTGTACCGGGATGCATCTTCGTGAATATTCTGTAGATACATCTCTGAAACGTATCAAAACATGCCTTCTATATTATATGTTATTTATCTGTGTTCAAATAAAGTACAACGCACAATCAGAAAATAAATAAATAAATAAACATACATAATTTCATATGGACAACAATGTCATACAAAAATAAAATACTATTTAATGGCGTAGAGGTGTTCTCCTATTTAATGACTACCTTATTTAATATTATCACACAATCTTATGAGATTCACTTTTTTTTTAACAATACATTAGCAAATATTTTTTTACAAGATAGTGTTACTTTTTCTCTGTTTTTCTATGTCAATTGAATCATAAGCCCGTGATTGAAACACTTTGTGAGTCACCATTCATAATCTCTAATGATTTTGGAAGTACTTTCTTTGGAATATATTTAGAAATAACTGTCTAGTATCTTTTCAAGACAGTTTTTTCTTCTACTTTGTTTACGACAATTGTCTCATGATCAATTATCTAACAAGATTTGCAAAATAAATACAATTTCTCATATACTTCATCAACATTAAAATACAGCCTTCCCTTTCTACCAGAAAAAAAAAAGGTAAAAAATCCAAATTTAAAAATCCATACATATTCTAGTAAATTATTCAAAAAATTTACTACTGGTGACTTCATATAACAACATTAAAGAAATTTCAATAACTCTTGTAATAGAGTGAAAGACCAATTACAAAGCACATCCATAAGTGGCTGAAAACTCATTTGAATCAAAATCAAAGTTTTTTAATAATAATGATAGATAAAGCAATAAGAATCGATTTCCAATTCAATGCTGTAAATCAAAGCACATTGAATTGCACATTTTACTTGTAAAGGATACACCAATCTTTTAATGTGTGATTGCTTTACATACTCCACTTGTGAGGTATAAAAACTCAATTTGTTAAATTCATTAAATAATATAGCAACACATCATTGGATACATTTTTAAATATAAGTTTTTTTCCAATAGTATATAAAAATTAAATTCTAAAAAAGTCTAACTAATAACAAAACTAAATAATACTTTAAAATAAGTTATTCAAATAAATATAAGCCTGCGCAATTTACTTTCCGAAGATGATCAAACTGGAGTTGACAAGTATATACACAAAGCATCACAGCAAAAACCATATATGTACACTTCATAATAAGCTGTTCAAAGTCAGAACACTTGCAGCAAACAATATTAGCATATGAATTGGCCACACTTGCAGCAAACAATATTGGCATATAAATTGGTCACACTTGCAACAATATAGCAGTAATCAGCTAAATCTTCTGAGCAAACAAAACCTGCAACAAACTGTCAATTTACAACTTAATCTTTTGTTAATCCATCTTGTAAGCCCACCCATGTTTGTCCAAGAACTCATGGACTGCTTCCTTAATGGCCAAGTTTGGTACTAGTTGTGATGGATCAAGTTGTTCCCTTGTGATTGGATCAAAACCACCTACCTATAACGGGACCAGTTATATAAATGAAATTCGACTTCATAAAATATGCCATCTAGATTATGAAGCATGCAAAACACATTACCTTCTGAAGATGATCAAGAAGCACTGCCCTCTCATATGTAAGTCCACTCGGAGTGATTACAGGATCATGAAAAATATCAAGTGTTATTCTACAGCATAGATGATCTGGAATCTGTAGATTCAACAATCCAATTTTGGTTGTTAATAACATACTAACTACTTGAATCTAATATCTACAAAGAAAAGTCGTGTACACACCTCAGCTGGTATGTCGTCTTCTGCAGCTTTATTGAAAACTCTTTCAACAGCCTCCAAACGTTTCAAATGTGAGGTAGTAGCATCATCTAGAAATCCTTCTGATTCAGAGATGTCTCCAATAAAATTTGTTTCCTTTAGAGCAGACACACAGGCTTCTCTGAGACATGAATACATCTTGTGATAATAACACTTTACATGATAATACAATATTTACTAACAAATAAATAGTTGAAACTTGGCTGAAAAAAACTGTGGTAGTTAATAATTTATATTAATAACAAATACAACTGATCAGCAACTGAGACAATCACCAGAAAAACATACTTCAAGTTCTGCAATTCCCAAGATCGCTGGGATGAGGCACGTTCCCACTCTTCGTATTTTGCTTTCGCAAGCTCTTGCCATATGTCTTCTACCATATAACCTTGTGGATTGGCACCTCTCCCAAGATTCAAAGCCTTAATTATGACCACAAACAGCAAAAGAACCATCGTTCGTTTAAGAAATAAGGGTAAGTCAATGTTTATATCTCATAACAAGGTTTCACACAGTAAAATCAGCGGGAAAGTTGTATTCAATCAGACATAACAAAATTGATAGAAGAAACTTGAGGTCATGATAAGGTAATATCCTCAGACAAACTGTTTCTGATTTCCCATTTTACAATTTAAATTGTTAGAATATAAGAAAATATTATATCCCTCACATAAAATCCATGGATGTTTATAAAATATCAACAAGACAACATGGATGACTGGGGGAGTTCAAGAATTAGAGAAATTAAAATTTGAAAAATCATCCACGACCTAGAGCAGAGCTTTTGGATTAATATTGGTTTGAACTACCCTTTTGTATGGAAGAAAATAGGGGAGACTGCCAAGTGTAAAAATTAATGGGATAGGACTTGTACTGGCATTGATACACTAGTAATAGAACTCCTCAATTGGTATTATGTATAACATCACCAGTTCTCATGGCAAACAGAAAACAGTAATAAAAATTTGTGCAGTTAAACACCACATAATTTATTGAAACAGATATACAAACCTTTTCCAATTCCCTGATTCCTTTCGGAAGTTCTTGTTTCTGCAGCAACGCAAGTCCCAACATATAGTGCGCCTGAAAAAAACACACAAGATTCAGCTGGAAACAAGACATATACAGGTATTGGTAGTTAATGCACTAGATCTAGATCCCCCAAAGTTATGTTTGATTTAAACACAACTCGGCATCATTTAGTCACTAATGCAATATACAAAACTACATATAAAAATAAATAAAGTTGACGCTTGCTCCAAGAATATCCAGACAGCTGTACATTATCTTAAAGGCTTATAACAAAGATCGTCATTTTACAAAACTAAATATATAAATAAAGTTGAGGTTTGCTCCAAGAATATCCAGACAGCTATACATTATCCTAAAGGCTTGTAACAAATATCGTCATCTTACATAGGTTATCAAAAGGAAGACATTTTACGGTGGTACCCCAAAACAGAACATTCAGATTGTCACAAACCATAATCAAGAAAATACACACAAGAGAATCCCATTCCCTGATTTGATTATTGATATGCAGCATACTAAGCCAAAAAGATACGAAGACCGGACTGGCTAATTTTTCCATTAAAGGAAATAAGAAAATACCTTGTTTCTCAAACTAAGACAACCTGTATAAGTTTGGGTTGGAAGAGTTGAAAAAAATAACAATGACTATTAAGAAAGTGAAAGGAAAAGAAGAGGTGCCGCTTGTGATTTCCCAAATCATTTTGAAAAGAATAAATCCTATGTGAAAACTCGCTTAGGGCCTGTTTGGCAGTTTAGGAGGGGAAGGGAAGGTGTTGTGAAAAGGTAGGGAGGAATGTGAAATAGAAGAAAAGATAGTTTATCAACTTGAATGAGGGAGTTTATTTTTCTTCATAATATGAAATCACCTCTAAATAGAGGAACTAAAAAATTTGTGTTGAACGAAGATTTCGGTGGGCATAGAGAAAATCTTCAAATCCAGTCGTTGTTGTTATAATACTCTTAAAATTAAAAATATAATAAACATAATCATTCTATAAAAGAGGCTCTATAATAAAGGTGAAAAGCTTCATTTCAAGAATCCATTGCCGTCAACAAATTTGTATATACCCATGCATAAATAAGTTTACCCCACCACACAACTAAACGTGCAAACAAACTCATTCGAACCTCATTCAAAATGAAATTCAATATCACTATCCAATGAATGAAGCCATTGAATCAACAACAAGTGAGAAAAGAAATTACAAAAATACAAACAGATCAACCACAATAACCTTGACCGAATTGCTGTCCAGCTGAATTGCTCTTCTAGAGTCTTCTTCAACCCTCTCCCATTCACTACAAACAAACCAAACACAACAAAAAATGTAGGTTTCAAAATCGCAGTCAAATCTATACTACACAAATGAAAACTTCAAATAACAGACAGGCAAAGCTTATGTGAAAACAATTGCAGTCAACAAACCCTCCAAAATCACAATGCTTTAACCACAATTTCAATTGCAGACCAAATATAAAGCCCTAATAAAAAACCACAATCCCAATCACAGACCAAAATTAAAAACCCTAAACACAAAATAACACCCAAACGAAGAAAAAAAATACATACTTGCGCTTGAGATGGCACAGAGCACGATTCGTATAATATATCGGAATATTAGGGCAACACGTTATTGCCTGTAAAAAACAACAAAAGAAAAAACCCATGTAAGGAACTGAACAAAGTTTTCATCACTGCGTTGCAAAACAACAATAGGTTAGTCAAAATCGAAACATTTCAAAAAAGAATTCGAAGAAAACCTGAGTGTAAGCATCGATTGCTGCTCCGAAACGGCTTTTCTTGAAGTAATTGTTTCCGTCATTTCTCAAGAGCTCCGCTTGTTTCAACTCCGCAGGGTTTGGCGGCATTTCTCTTGCTCTCTCTTTCTCTCGCTATATCTATATGTATATGTATAGTTTGTGTATCTATAGCCTGTAGTGATGTGAGTGAATGAATTGGGAAAGAGAGAATTGGGAATGGAGAAATTTGGAAGGGGAGAGGGAAACGAAATGGATAGTGCCGAGAAGAGAATGTAACGACGAGTTTTGGAAATGAGCATTGAGTTCTTGACTCGCTAATTTTGAGTTAAATTCTTAAAATTTTTACACTCCTCATTATTAGGGTATTAAATTTTTAAATAGTTCCTCCTACTCACCTTACAAAATAATCCACGAAACAATAGGTATGTTATGGAGCTCGACATTATATTCACATTCCATAATGAGGGACCTCTATAATGTCATTTATTTTAAGTCATCTCATGTGAAACTTTTAGATATTCTCTCCCTAACTTATAATTCAATTTACTCTTTATTATCGGTGTTAAAGTGCTAAACTTGTAAACGAATCATTGCGTCGTCATATTGAATATCCACTTCATCGCATAAAGACTTACTCCATCATTTCATCAAGTATTTTAGATTTTCTAGCAGAATAGAGACACCGTCAATGAAAATCAACTTGTGATTCCTACGAATTTCCACAATTTCATTCCTTTTGATCCAAAGCAACAAATCATAACAACAATTACACTCGAACAAAGAAGATGACTTTTGATCCAATCGCATAAAACACCATAGCTCTTTCAGAATCCATATTGTCGCTTATTATTCGTTGTTGATTCAATTTGTATCAAATCTTCTAGAAAGAAATGTGCTTCACCACGAAGTTCGTTTAAATCCTTAGTAGATGTCCAAAAGCAAGAGGTATATAGACATGTCATACGGTTTTTAGTATGAAAATGTGAATGAAACTTCTAATGCAACGCTTTCACTAGTTGTAATTGTCGTCATAGCCAATCACTTGGTATCAGGGATCCTCATCAAAGACCGAAACTCATGCGACCTAATGTATCTCAGAGTCTTCATAAGATTGGGAGTGCGCGTGAAAATTTTGAAACTGTGTGAAGGCTAAAACCTTTTAGCATTTAATGACTCCTCAACTCGTACATGTGGAACCATAGATATATCAGTCTCGTTCGAAGAAAGCAGAAGCAACATAATAGTGAAATTATGTTTCCTCATCATCCTTTGTGAAAGTGTATATCATTTAGAAAGGTCGTTTACGGTAGCATTAGACGTAATGGTCTTCACGATCCATTTGAAGATGAATATCACAACAGTTCGAGTGAGTCGATCATTATTGCATCCATTTTGCGTGAATTCTCCTTGTGCATATTACGATATTAAAGAAACCTCCTCACAACTGTCATCACCTTCGAGGTGGGAAAAGAATGTTCGTGAAGTAGTTGGCTCAGTCGAACTTGACGTGCGAGAAGATGAAATCCCTCAAGAAGATCAAGATTGCTCGCCAGCATAATTTAAGACTAAAACATTTAGGCCATCTCCAAACGACGAGTTTAAAACTGTCCAATTGGATGATAACCTATAATGGTCGGCCCGTATAGGTGTTGATATGCCACTCATACTGAATAAGAGTCTCGTTAAGTTTCTTAAAGCCAGCGTCGACCTTTTTGCAATCTCTATTAATAATATGTCGAACATAAATTCAAACACAGTGTGTCAACTGAATATTGATCCTTCTGCCTAATATGTAGCCCAACGAAAAAGGTGTTAATCCCCCGAGAATGCTGAAGCGACCATGAAGATAGCCCAAGGCTTGCTTGATGCTAACTTTATCTTCGAGATTAGGTACACATAATGGCCTTCCATTATCGTACTAGTCAAAAAGGCCTAGGGGAAGTGGAAAATATGTGTGGGTTATATCGACCTCAATCATGACTGCCCCTATAGACTCATATTCATTTCTAAACATATACGAGTTGGCAGATATTTTAGCCGGCTACAAACTTTTGTCCTTCTTGACTAAGTAAGACAACTATCAATATAATACGATGCTTTTCAGTCTAAAGAATGTAGGGGCAATATACTATAGGATGATGAACAAAGCCTTTGAGGAAGAGATAGATGAAACTAGAAGTCTATATGAATGACATGATTGTAAAATCTACTGAGGAAGAGGTACATAATGAGCATCTCACCAACGTATTCAAAAAAGTTCGACAGTACAACATGAGGCTCAATCCAAAAAATGTACCTTTGGGGTCAGATGAAGCAAACTTTTAGGTTTTATCTTACAAAATAAGGCATATAAATGAATATGAAGAAATGGTAAATGTACCTTTGCGACAATACTTCTTAACACATGTCATTATTGTCCACATTGATTTTCCAATGAAGCAAATACTCCATCGACCATATTTATTTTGGTGGTTAACCAAGTGGTCTATCGAGATGTTTTATTTTGACATATATTTTGAACCTAGAAAATCCTTGAAGGCACAATTGTTTGCAGATTTCATAGCAGAAATGACTTCGGGAACATCATAACTAACCAGCATCTGGATCGTGTTCACAGACAAATCATCCAACAGTCAGGGAAATGGAGATGATTTAATATTAAACAATGAATTTGACTTGGTGATCAAGATATCCATATGAGAGTGGCATAAAATATTAAGTTGTGAATATGTTTATAATTGTTGGTATGACATGTCTAAAGAGATGCTCACATTGGACAAATATGAAGCTTTCATTGCTAGTTTCACATTGGTGGCCAAGATGTGGGTGAAAAACATTAAGTTGTCAATAAATTCCATATAGTGGTATCGCATATCAAAAGAGATACTCAAACCAATGACATTTGTTATAGCAATTTGTAGCTTTGACAAGAAAAAGGTGGGAGAAGTTCATTTCGTATGAGCTTTTGCATGTTTCAAGGGAGATAAACGCTCAACTGAAGAGAATAACTAGCTAATATTCCGTAATAAAAAGAACTTTATATATAAGAGATTTGTCGACCTTTCTACTACAATGCCTTGAAGGATAAGAAGTATTATACACACATCACTAAAGTGCACAAAAAGATAGCCGATACACACTTCGGAATACAGGTTCTAACTACGAAAGTCCTCAAGGTTGTATATTATTGGTCACCCATTATCTAAAACGCCAAATATTATGTGAAGAATTGCAACTAGTGCCAAAGCCATAAGAATGTTCAAAACGTTCATCCATTTGAGTTACATGTGTTAAAATTTCCATGGACATTCTTACTATGGGGTATAAACACCCTCTGGTGTCATCCATCTCCTTTTTAGCATCCTCTAGACCAACTCCCAAATAGGCCACCATTAGGTCCATTGCATCAGATATGGTGATTCTATAGTGGTTTAATAACCTTCTCCTGATCGAAAGATGTAGCAGGGATAATACATCATCCAATGTGATGGACATCTCACCAATGAGAAGATGAAAAAATGACATCTTTAAGTGCCATCTCTTCTAAAAAGCTGACAAGATACCACAATTAGTAATAGTATTATCAATCATGCATAAATGTTGCAGCCCAGATAGCTACATTACATCATGAAACCATTTCTCCTCATGCTTTTGAAGCTTCGCAGTCTTTCTACCATAGTTGATGCATTTTAAAGTATTACAGTATTGCCAAAAAAAATACATTATCGTCAGAAAGTTCAAATATTATATAATACATATGTTTCAAAGAATAAATACATATTTGTTTTACCTCTTCATCCTGCACGTGCCTAGCAACATGGGTTGCATACAAAGGCATGAGTGGAATGTCATGGAGACCTCTTCCAAAAACCTCTGGAACAACATAATAAATGACAATGCCATTAGCAGACTGATCAAAATGAACTTCAGGGGTTGAAGCAGGTGACACGTGCCTTCAAAACGACAAAGCCAGAGACTTCCCAACTTCAGAAATGGATACTTCCGCATCAAATGAGCTGACACTAACTGGTGGTTATGAGGGTATAACTCAATCGATCTTGGTTTCCTGTTGTTTTACCTATAAAGCAGACAAAATAGACAAACTCAAACTCAAATGACAAACATGCAAAATCAAACAATGCAGACAAAACCAAATAATGCACGAAAAATATGAAAGTGCACTTTCATAACTTAAGAAAATCAAATTCAGAAAAAAGAATAAAAGTGCGCTTCTGTTTGAAACACGAAAATGGAAGAAAACTCATAAGCTTTATTCAATTTTAACACTACCGAATGGCATAATTGAGGAGATGACGTTTGTGTTGACAACATTTGGTCATGACATTTACCTTGTATAAGGGAAAACTTCAATGAGGAGGAAGAGAAGCAACTCTATGATCTGCCGCAGATTTTGCATAACCAAACCCCAAATGCAACACTAAAAAACAAGTATGTTTGGTGGAGTGACACACTAAGCTTTAATATTCGAAGTAGCTATGTCTGTCTGGTTGTCATGAGCGTTGTAAGCAACGTTGTTAATGTTGCTACGCTAAAGAGCCCAAAGGCGTTATAGAAACCCAAGGTGCCCAGTAAAATTCATCCTTTTAGATGGAGTATGCTCTTAAACAGACTCCCTACGAGGTTGGAATTGGCGAAAATTGGCATTGTCCATGGAAATAGCAACTTGGTGTATTCGTTGTGTGTAAAATTTGAAGAAAAATTGATTCATTTGTTTCTTACCTTTTTGGTGGTCATTGATGTTTGGAGAAAGGTCAACTTGTGGTTAGGAGTGGATATGGTTTAAGACAATAACTCGGTAGTCAACCATCAAATGAATTTCTGCAAGTTGATCAAATGCAAATTCAGAGAATTTAAATTGTTTTTTTTTTTAAATTGTTGTGTGCTGGATTGTATGAACTACAAGAAATAAAATTTTATTTAATGAAGGTTATTTAAGAGAGATATACATTATTTGACAAACTAAAAGTTTGATTAACCGAATGCGAGTTTTCTAATAATTGATATTGGATTTGATACGAAAGACAAATCCACCATAATTGATATTGGATTTGATACGAAAGACAAATCCACCACAACTCTGATTAAAA